GTGAAGGGTGGAAGAGAGCCAGAGGCGGTCAAACAATGACTTGGCAGCAAAGTATGAAAGCCATTACCAACAAACTCAGCTGAGAGGGTCACTGCCGTCTTCCTGAATGGGGACCCCGAGACGGGCCACATCAATGGCTAGAGACATTGTCAGACATGGCCCAGTCGCGCCCTCGGTGGCGCTCGTGCATCCAAGCTATTGCCTTCAATGCATGGCTCCTTTTCCAACCCTCCCGCTTGATCGCCCGCAGTACCTATCCCCCTCCCATAACATCGGTGAACGAAACTGCGGTGGCCGTTTCAGTGGTGACCGTTTCAACCACAAGGGTGTGATCCTTAGCCCAGTTGTGACAGCCGCTAGTTTCAATGATGCTGGGACACCTGACGCTTCGTTCCAAAAATGGTGGAGAGTATCAGAATATTAAATCCTTAATTGTGCTGCCTAATATGCAACCGTTGGAACGTATAAAGTTTGGGGTACTTCCGGGTTGCTTAGTTTCGAAAAATGGTGATCGTTGAACAGTGGGTACGTTGACGTAACGGAAATTCCAGGCGGTAGACGATCCCATAGCCATATATCACGACAAAAACAGTCAGTACGTCTCAGGAGACGGTGGTCGAACACGACCATTTTGAAACTTTCACTATGGGTGGCCATTGTTACCTTTAAATAATTGTCTGTCAACTGACTTGATGGTATGATTATTCGACCCTTCAGGGAGGGGCTAAGGTGGCATACTACTGCATACTCCTTAACAGGCTGTCCGTATGGTTCTCGATGCATTTTATCTGCCATATGACTTTAATAATCAACAACAGTGCACCAGTAGTAAACGCTGGCATCTAGCTACAGCTACGAGGAAAGAATGCCTTGGCAAAGTGTTGAAACAAAACGAAGAGCTGGAATGTCATTTCACAACATCGTTTAGAATAAACTGGTGGAATTAACTCGACGTTTTTAAAAAAGACTCAACGTACACGGGCACAATAACAGGCCAACTAGCATCATGGTCACTTTTCCGTGTAGTTTTCCACCGTGTGCATGGTGAGTCGGTTGGTATGCAATCAGGAAGATGCAAAGCTCTCAGCACCCAAATTTGATTACACTTCGCCTTGAGTTGTCATTGATCGTCATTACCAGCAAGCGAGCTGTTAAAAGTGCTGACGTGCACTACGTGAAGTCCATTTGATTTGCAGTGCACTTTGCACCAGCTGGTATACTCATGTTTATATATGCGAGTTTCAGATTTTCGATCGACTATCGTTTCCTTCCTTTGTACTAGCCTCGAGTGTTCACTTCCACGCACAGTTCGAACGACACTTCATATGTCCGGAATCGCGCCTAGATTCATTTCTGAGAAGGATGTGGAGGCTAGAAGAAAGACCCAGGAGGAGGAGGGAGTAGTTGAAGAACCCTATGACGCGCGCTCTCTGTATGAACGTCTCCAGGTATCCATTTTTTTGACATTTTCACTGTCCATAATGTTATTTGTGCGATCACTGCTACGTGGTGTTGTAGTATAACACTGCGCAGCTTGCTCTCTTGGTTGACCTCTTTCTGTTTAGAGATGTAAATGATCTACCTGACTCTCGTAAATAACAAATTTTTCACCAGTTACTGTAGCTTCTACTCACCTCGGTAGGCTGTTATTATTCGGCCGGTGAATTTCCCCGATGGTATCTGGTTCAGTTTTTCTTTTCTGTCGGTAAATGGTCGTTCTAACTAGGGAAACACCCCACTTGTTCTTTCCCTGTGGCACATGTACTGTTGGTTGCGGTGTATTTGGACGTAATCGAGCTCAGTATAACCGATATATCGATATCCAATCCTCAGTAAAGGAGTCATATTACTACTTTAGTTGTCCACGTATCATCACATTATGCATCGATGCGAGTGCTATGTTACGCCTGGGACCACCGTGCCACTGTTATTCAAACTGCGCTATGTTATGTAGTAAACTCCGGTATTTGCAGCAACTGTCGTTCCCTCAGTCTTGTACATTTAATGTTTATAGTTTTTTATCTACCGTTCGTTGTGTAAAGTTTGCGTTCTACTTCATCAATAAGGTATTTGTTCGGATACTCGAATCTTGCCTACGTTTGCGTTGATTAGCCTAAAACGAATTGCTCGTTTTGTGAGTTTTAAACACCCACTCTTTCTGGTTCTATTGGCATCAAGGTACTCAATGGGTTGTGCATTTTAAGGTTATCCTACTCAGCTACCAGTCTACGCTTGTTCACTATTATGCACAAGCACGCCCTGCTGCGAACACAAGTATATTTTTAACTAGGAATACACCTTGGAATATCACCTTAGTTCTCCTTCAGGCTTCCTTTTCACTTTGGGTTCCTTCAGGTGGCATGGTAGCTAGGCAACGAAAGGGCATTATAGCTGAACGGTTATTTTTTCATTCAATGGGCTAACTTGACGCCGTAACAATCGACTTCCCAAACCGGCGTCGAACACGACAAGCACTTTCAATACTGGCTGGGAAGTCTCATTCCCCAATCGATGCACATGAGCTTTTGTGTGGGATAAAGTCACCAACCGCACCACGAAATTTACTGGAATCCCTATGTAAATAAGTCTGTTGGGAACTGCAATCGCAATAGCGGTTCAAACAAACAATGTAAACATCCCTACTTAAATGGTACTCCGGTTCTGCGATATGCGACTGACAGATTAGTAGAGAACAAATGTTCCAACTAAACAAAACTCTGTATAGTATTGATGTTCTTGTATATTATCTCGTTGTGGTAAGTTTTTGACTTGGGGTTTATGCATAAGTTCACAGATGAGTCCTTATGCATGTCTTGCGGCGTACAGTTACTTTCCATTTATGCTAAGGTACGCTTTATCCGCTGTCTGGGCTCTGGTAGTTTATCGAAGGATTCTGACTCCCCGGAACCAATTAACGATAAGATTCCTGTCGCTTGACTGGAAATGTCTAAAATTGGTAACACCAGCTTCAATACTCAGTTGGTACTGATAACTAGTCAGTAGGCAGACTTGCATCATATTTTGCAGGTGGTTGCTTTACGTGATTTAGGGCACGACAGCAGTATAGGCGCGTCTGATTGAATGGGCCGAACCAATGAATCAATTCAGTCAACATAAACTATGCTCTCGAGTATAGCCAGGAGTGGTCAACATTGAAAAGCTGCCAATCGAGGCGTCACGTGATCCTGCTACATTCTCGAATACACATGCCGAGACATGAAATGAATTGCTTTCATTGCCTGAACAACCTTTACTGTTTAGTCAATTGGTAGAATTTTGGAACCGATTAATTAGTCATCGTTTCAGAAGGACTTCGTAGACAATGGGTAATTTTTAACCGGGCAACGTTTCGCTTTTGACACAAAAACCGCATTAGGCCACTTGAGCAGGGCACCTAGTTAGCCAGGTTTTATGGGTAATTTTAACCGGGCAAACGTTCGCTTTTGACACAAAAACCGCATTAGGCCACTTGAGCAGGGCACCTAGTTAGCCAGGTTTTAAGACAGGCGGAGAACAAATCAGTAATATCTCTTCAGATAAGCATACTAGATCAGTTTTGGCTGTCAATTAAAGGATTGTGTCGGTTAGTATGGTTGCCTAAATCTTACGTCTGATAGGATGGGGGAATTTCAAATTGTTTTTGGTCGGCTTCTCATATACGGTGTTTTTTTAGTTTTCCTCCGACCTTATGTATCATGGAGTCCGAGAAACTTAGGGAACCCGAAGTTAACTGTACTAAATTTCAATGTGCACATTAAGTTCATTCAGATGGTCGAAAAAAAATCCACTAACCTTGTCTCGTCTCATCACGACGAAAGTGTCATCTACGTAATGCTTAGGTTGGTACGGGAATCCGGCTAAAGCTTTTTGTTCAAAGTCTCATGAGAATATTCGCCAATACCTGTGATATTGGTGATTTAACCGCTAGACCTTGCTCTTTGGTGGAAACCTCGGAATCAAAGATCAATGGAATGAGATTCAGGCGTGCTTTTATGACGTGCACTATTTCCTCTACCGTATGCCGTGTCCGTTCTGAACGGGCGTCTGCTGGTAGTAGTCGTTTGGTTATTTCTACTTTTGGCATATTTGTATATGTTGGCAACACCCGCTACTTTGTTGGCAGCCATATGAATTCCTAATGTAAATACTTCTGCTCTTACCTCTAACCGATTGCTATTAACGGCGTACTGTTCTATGCGGCTGTCTTATGCGTTCCATTTGGATACCCTTCGATGTCCGTTGGGTTGTTATTAGATTCTTAGGCAGCTCCAAATATTCCCGTAATGGGATAGAATTTTGGGTCCTTTCTTCCTATTCCAATAGTTGCTGTACAGGTTGGTTGGTTTTCTCATCTTTTCCTGTATAAGCGATAAGGTACAATAATGCCCTGATGATGCCACCTTGATTGGTGATGAAGCGTTTGCAATCAAATTGCCAAGCTCAGTGAACAAAATAGGGACCAAGGCACAACTGGTTTTGTCTCAATGTACTCCTTAAGACTCAGACTTAGTGGTAATAGACCTGCAATGGCTGCGGAAGTTATAGTTTTCGTACTACAGTATTCAAGGGTAGCTGCCTCAAGGCAGCAGCTCTTGAGATAGGCCACAACTGCAACTTCTGAACGTTAGGATGAACTTCAAGAGTATTTTGTTTGCATTTGCACTGTCAGAGTCCCCTCTGATGTGGAACAAGCATGTAGAGACCAACTATATTTGGTCTTTCTAGATGCTACCAAACGGCTAGTTTGTCAGTGGTTTTTGGCGCTACCGCCGCCATCTCTGTATGAGTCAAAACGGAACTCAGTGCAGCCGCCTAGCAGTGAAATGTAGCCTCGGTTGTATTTGAGGTCACTTTATGTGAGATGCACTCTTGGGGAATACGCTCTCATTAAGTCGTTCGATCGACTTGCCGTCTCAACATCCCACGAGAAAAGGAAGAGCTTATCCAGTCCTGTCACACGAACAGTGGAAACAAATGTATATTCTACTGTAGCTTAGACGACCGAGAGGAACACATAAGTCGATAAATTCACATTTGGGAGAGTTTTGCTACGGAGGAAACCCAAAATGTTTTGCTACCGTGGGGATTCTTACGAGACCAAGTTAAGTGCCAAAGTTACTTTTGTAGGTATTGCTTTCATGATGGCTTCCTATTTCGGAATCACTATAATAATGCTTATACTATTGTCCTTCTGGGGATTTCAACTGTACGAAAGTGACATCTTCTGAAAGAGGGTCAGACTATTGAAATACGCATCAAGAAGCCAAATACAAACGGTATCTTAGAAGACCAGTGAGGCATCTACAAAATGGGAAACATATTCGAACGATAGAACTACGAAAGCTGGTTCCATTTGTAAAGCGTGAAAAAAATCTCAAGGAAGCGGGTGAGCACTGCTGATTAGTTAAACCTTCGAACTTTCGTGCCCTATTCCAGCTATGCCTGGACTGACAGAGTTTGTGTAGTTAGTGCTGTCACAGCTTCTGTGCTGCCGTAATCTTCAATTCCATTCATTTTATCTATGTCCACTCTAGGTCATGTTTTACGGTATTCATCCGCGGCCTGATACTCCCACTATGCATACTTGCCACTTTTCAGATTGAAAAGGATCGGAAGCAGGAAGAATTCGAGGCGCAGGTGGCATTGAAGAACCGGGTTCATCGCTTGGATGAAGAGGAAGTTGAATATCTTCAAACACTTGCAGTGAGACAGCACAAAGTGGAGCTCGAAAAAGAGGAGGAAATCGCTGCGTTGTTGCGTGAAGCTCAAATATCCTTTTACTGTGGCATTCTTGTATACCTGTTTATAGGTGTCTTGTTCAGAGTAGATCGGACATAAGAGATATCTCTAGAGATAGGATACGGTGCTTCTAAATGTACTTCGCAAGAACCATCCAAAACCTAGGAATAGCAAGATGGAAATAAATATCGTATTTATCCTATCGGGCTAGCTGCGTCTTATAAGACTTTCTGTTAGGGAGGATACAACAGCTAATGTAGTTATTCGGCACTCCCTTACCTGCACCATTTGTCTCTTGTAGAGAATTAAGTTTCAGTTTGTAGTACGCAGAGAGGTTGCTAGTACTCATATTTCTTCTTAACGCTCATTGGTTACGCTCATCGCCCTGCGCCCCAAGTCGTCTCCCAATCTGACACACCCATGAGACCTTCCCCAGTTCGTTCTGGACCAAGCCAGCGAGCCCTTCTTGCCAATGCGCTTAAGCGACCATCGTGAGTTTCTCTTATCCCGTCTCTCATATATTTTTGGACCCCCTAGTGGACTACCCGAAATGGCTTTACCTCCGAAACCCAAAACAGCGCGTACGGAACATACAGGTCAGTTTTTCATCTTTTCCCTTGATTGTTTGTTACATATTCGACTGGTGTGAAATCACAACCAGTTGGGTAGCTTGGGTAGGCCACTTTTCTCTGGTTCATCGCGACTGTAAGCCAAACTAGAACGCAGTGGATTCGGGCTGACGGTCGGAAGTTTACTTGTCTATATGTTATCCCACGAGAACAAATCTTGTCTTTTTCTGAGCTAGGAAAGTGTACTTGAGTAATTTCGGTAAGCAGTTCATAGGGATGTCTAGAAATATCGCATATGTAGGGCGCATCATTGTAGAATATTGCTATCAAAATTCTGTTACCTGAGGAAGACAGCTGTCGAATACTTCCATTTAAAGCTAGCTACTCGAAGACTGATTTTGGATCAACGCTTGTCCAACAACTTCTCGACGTGTGTTCGGATTCACTAGCGGTCGCGGCCTTTGATTCGGTCTTATTTTACTCATACAGTTGCTGATACAGTTGCTTATTTTTTTCCATGGATTGGTCCCTTCCCGATCGAAAAAATGTTATCTGGTCGGTTAGCAGCTTCTCATTTGCGTGCTTTCTTTGACAGGTACCGTCCAACCAGCTGATCCGCAAAATGGCGATGTACCGCTGGATCACGTAACACCATATCCAGGGAACTCGCAGACCAGCTTTGGTCTCACGGCCTATTCTGATTCTGACTCCAGTGAATCCAGTGACAGCGAGTCTGGGTCCACCGACGTTGAAGATGCTGCATGTACACTGATGGAAGTTGCTGCTACACGACTGCGAAAAAGCAAACCATCAAACAGCGAAGATGCTTGAAGTTATATCGACCCATTTATGCTGTACAGCATCGCATTTTTCTCCGTTTATGTCTGTGAACAGCGTTGTCAAAGATTCAACTGTTTCCAATGCCTTTCTAATGGACTTCGACCTCTAGCTGTTACTTGGCGGTGTTTACTCTACAGTTTGGGCATATATTACTCAATCGCAGTTGGAGTGCTTTACATTCTAGTTTCGCCGCAAAACCGGACAATTTCTGATAGTTATGTCAGTGTGGTCGATTTCAGATAGTATCTTCCGGAAGGATTCGATGGTTCAGAAGGCTATAGAACCCCAAAATTCCGGAACGGGAATCCCAGAGATTGATACCTGTGTTTTCAAGCTACCGGGGCCATATTCAAGGCGGGTAGGTCAACATAGGTGGACTTGTGATGCGTTGGGTGTTTGAACTACCGTTTAGTCCGAACAAAGATTAGACGTACTGATAATGTATCAGTCATCAGTGCATTTCGCACCGTTGGCGACCCTTATCTCCTGAACGAAGCAGAATTGAAGGACAGACTTTGAAGTAACTTGTGGTTAACTTCAACTATGACAGCTGCGCCGGGCTCCAGATCTTTAGGTGTACTTTTGGCTTTCGACATCTTCGGGATTCCCTTAGTCTGTATCCTCTTATCGAAAGAGGTATCATATTCAGTAGTTCACTTAACGAATTATCGTCAAACGGAGGATATTTCACCCAATCATTTTCTCTCCTCAGTTCCACATTTAAGCCATGGGACAGATTAATGGGGTTATTTTCTTTGTCTGATTTACCTATCTCGTACGATTTTATCCCTATGGACAGGGCTTTCTGTCTGAATTGTGTTTTCGGAATTACTTCAAGAATTTCCGTGATACACCACAGGTTCGTAAGCTTTTGGTCAGCAAGTAATCAGTCCTGAGAATGACCATTTATTCGGATGAGATTACTGTGTCCATCAGTAGATACCTTCATATCTTCAGGGTTTACTTTTTTTGAAGAGCTAGTATCTGGGTGCACTTTGTGGTTAGTCAAATTTTAAGCATATCACGTCGTACCCAGCATTGTTGTGAGCCTACTAAAAATTCGAGTGCATTAAAATGAACATGATTTGATTTCATTAGCTGGGTGAAGTGTCACGAAAGTGGTGTTAGCTCTAACGAGACTGAATGTGCGGTAGGTAGGTAAGGGCTTACCAGGAGCTGACTCTGTGTTGTGCCACTACATGTAATTGTCTATCGGTTTTACAGATGTTGGATATTGGGATCACTGAAGTCTTAGCTGGATTACTGGGAGCTGTCGATGAATCCGGTATATTCACCCTTTCGGTATGAGAAGCCTCTGACTGCATAAAGCATTGCTTAAACATTTGATTTCTACCGCGATTGAACACTGTTTATACGGGTTCACATTACACTTTGATGGCCTATCCACTCTAGATGGCTCTTCTAGGTTGCCGTATTATCATCCAACAACCGATACCATTTGGGGTTACTAATTTCATCGCTTACCTGTTTTGCATGCTGAGGGTCACCTCAGCAGATTTCGTTTGACCTGGTTTTTCGAAATGAGTTTCCGATAATCATTCAAATGTTTGAATATTGCCGCTAACCATACGTGAATTTGAAAAAGCGTCTAAGTTGTTTGTCCCAGAGAATCAGGGTTCCTGCGTCGGATGCATCAGGTAACACCGGTCATGCGTGTGGTATTGCCCACGGAGAAAAAAACTTTAGTATCTTGAGTATTCAGGCAGCCGAGTTCTATGGCAGTTTGCACCACTCATTTATTTGTGGAACATTGCAAATGAGACTTGTGTGAAACTCGATTGAATCGGTCAGTTGCACCATCTGGTACGCACGTGAGTAGTTTTCTATATCATTCACTGCGTTCCCAACGTAAAGCTCTCACCATTTCTTGGTGACCAACTTCTGTTCTGCAATGTTCCTATGGGCTATGTTGGCTACACCTTACTTCCTAGAGTTTCGACCATGCAGCGAAGGCCAACGGGGAGCATCCGGACGAAGAATAGCAAGTCACCGTACTGAGTATTCGTATTCCGAGGTGGTCTGGAGGTGAAGTCGTACTTCTTCCGCGATAGGGGTGCGAAGGTTTTCTTCCAGGCTACCGGTATGTCCATGTTTATGGAAGGATCGATTTTGCCATCTCTCGGGGAAGCACGGGTTAGAGAAAGTTGACCCCAAAAACCGCACACTTCGGACGTTGAACAGTTGGCTGTGATCGCGAATTAATTATTCAATACGGTCGAAATACTCTAAAAACTCAGATTCCGTACTGCCCAAAAGCACATGCTGTGCGTAGTTGCAATAGGAGTACGACAGTAATGCCTCGCTCCCTTCGCCCTCGGGCCAGGCTGGTCCCCTGAGTCGGCTCTGAGAGGGGTCACTTAAGAAAACCCTAAGAATCGCTGCCTCGTAGTTCAGAAGCTAGGGACAGGGTCCCCGAACAAAACCCCAGATCCTTCCACTGCCTTTTGGGTCAGACTTCTAATTCAAAGACCCCAGGTGGAGTACCTCAACTATACTTCCTTCAGCTTGGGCAACCTGGAAGTATCATTCACCCTTGCAGCTCTTCGCTCACCGGGTTCCCCTCACACTCCCCACCCATCGAACGACATCATCATCATTGTCAGCTGTAATAACCGCGTACTCGTCGTACAGTGGTTGTAGCTGCCGCAGTTTCGTTCACCGATGATTTGGGGGGGGGCTAGGTGCGCATTGCAGGCGGGAGCTGATAAATAGGTGCATAAATCCGACATTGTCAGGGGGCTGGCAAGTGGGGTGGGGTGGGGAAAGGAGCTATGCATTGAAGGCAATAGTTTGGGTGCACGGACCGCCATTGAGGGCGCGGCTGGACCGTGTCTGACAATGTCTCTAGCCATTGATGTTGCCCGTCTTGGGGTCCCCATTCAGGAAGACGGCAGTGACCCTCTCAGCTGAGTTTGTTGGTAATGGCTTTCATACTTTGCTGCCAAGTCATTGTTTGACCGCCTCTGGCTCTCTTCCACCCTTCACATGGTTGTGCGAAAAGTGCCCTTCGAGGAAGTCGGTCGACTGGCATCGAAAGACGCAGTACAGTCAACCCATTTATTATCCGCTAGCCATTGTTCTGTGTTTAAACCTTCGCAGAGGATAAAAAGATCACTTACTAACCCCAAAAGATCTGATACACATTGCAGCGTTTGATGTGTCGCAACAGGCATCTCTTGCCAAAACCTTACTTCCCCTTTCTGTTGATGTATGTCGTGTCTCCGAATCACGCATATAAGACCTCATTTCAGCCGTGCACCTCAAGCCGCTTGGAACTAGTGCAGATGTTCCATATTTCACTTTCTGGGTATCCGGTGGTCGTGACGCAATGGATCGTGGTATCTAGGATGTGGGAGTTGCAAGGCGCCTAACTGGACCAGATCCCAATGAAAAATTCCCCTTGCACTGTTCAGTTGTCTGGTTCAATTAAGATCAATGTGGGTCGATGCGGTAAACGGTGTATATTTGTCGTATCAGCCCCGACAGACAGCAGTTTCGAGACTGCGGAGGAGGCGTTTTATCAAGACTTATCAAAACTACTTCGATTAGCAAGAGGGACGGACATAGTAATCTTGGTGGGTGATATGAATGGCCAATTCGGACGATTAAGCCCGGAAGAAGCACAGTTAGGTGGTAGATTTGAAGTTCATGCTGAGCCTACGGATAATATGGAGCGAATCTCTTAGTTGTGTACAAACCGTTGTCCGCGCCTGGCCCGTACGAACTTCCAACACACGCTCCCATCGAGTTGCTTGGAGGTCACCCATCACAAGACAGTCGTGGACTCAATTGGACCACGTGGCTATCAGTTACCAATGGAGAGCCTCAGTTAAGTGTTATCGTTCCTTCTCGGGTACGCAACTTGACTCTTATAACTCCATCGTGCGGGCCAGGTTATCACTTCGTCTTCCGCCAGCGGTGGGTGTGCCAAAGCAGGGCAGTTCCTTCCATCGACTTCGACAAGTTTCAGTAGCTGATCTGGCTAGAAAACTACTGCTAAAGCACAGTCATGCGGGTGACGAAGAATGCTTGGAGGTTGAATGGAAGCGGGTTAAAGAACCCGTTTCCAGCTTTCAGAACTGTTCATCCAGACCATCTGACTCGACTGAATGAACACACGATATCGTCCAGATCAAGCAGCTATTATTGCTGTCATAAAGGAGATGCCCACAACTAGCGGTTATAATGGCGCACGCAGGCTCCTAAAACACTGGATAAACAGGAGCTTGGAGAATGACAGAGGACGCTGGTGGATTTCGAATTTCCAGGAGGTGAGAAAGGCTTTCGCTGCAGGCAGTTGCCACTCCCTGTTTTGGTGCGTGTCTTGCCATGATTGAACGAGACGTTAGCCTGACCCAAGGTTTCAGAGAGGTTAATAATAAAAAAATCCACGGCTTGGGCTCTTTGCAACGATAAGCGCAACAGGGCCGGAGAGAACTTTGGTGACCGAAATAATCACTGAGGAAAACGGATCGTTGTCTCGAATAAGAAAGGGGGTGCCTGAATCGCTGCGCTGAACACTCGAACAGCAGCCCACAGCTTCTCAGCTGGTTCTCAACCCGTAACACATCTCCGGCCAACGAACTCGGAAGCGCCGACGGATTCGGAAATAGGCGGATGTCTTCTGTCTCTTAAGCGTCACTGAGTTGTTGATTCCTACCCGTTCTTTTCAGAGGTGGGGGTGAAATGTTCAACCGGTGCTTTTGCAACTGATATGCCCTTATCTGGGCCAACGAGGCCTCCCAAGCCAACTGGCCATTTTGTAAACCGGTGCTCGCAGTGAGTGTGGCAACCGTGTAGGCCTGACTTCTGTTGAATCCGGAATCTGTGGCGCTCATTTTACGTTTTCTTAAGAAGTCGTGTGAAGACAGCTCCGAGAACAGTAAGCGGGATACCTGCCGGGAAAAGTATGTGTGGATCGCATCTCCACACTCCGTCAAGTGTATGTGCAACGCCACGAGTATGGGTGCATTGTCACTTTGATGCTACCTGACTTTAGGAGTGCGTGTGATTTCGTCAACGAGTTCGTTCTTTTCAACACGCTTGTACAACAAAGTATGTCTCAGGAGTTCGTGAGTGTCATAAGCTCTTGGTGTTCGCATTCATATCGGTGCGCGGGAGTGTGTGGAGAT